CAAGCCGTGGTGCTCAATATACTCCAGAGACTCCTGATGTATGCACCTTATAACCAGCTTTCTGGGAAAGCTCCGGATTCTTAGGATATCTGGAAGAGGCTCGGAAGAACTAGTGCAGGCTCCGCTGCATATCTCTCCAATACGAATAATAAGAAGCCAAGTCCGGACCAGAAAGTTTGTTGATGTCGAGCGCAAGAACTTTCTGCACAGTGTCGGGAGCCTTTTGAATAGTCGGCACTGAGGCGTGGGGGACGTGGACATCTTTGGTAGAGCTAGCAGCAAAAATCTTGGCAAGCACTTGCGCGGTAGTCTTTAAGTTGGTTACCATCGTTCCATTCTGGCACTTAAGCGGCGAAAAGCTACTCTTTGTGAGGTTCTCTTCAATCTGCTTGGCCAGCGTCCAGAAAGACCGACTAATTATCGAAGCACTTATTCCACTCGTTTGCTGGCAGATCCAAAACGGCATTTTTGAATGCGTCAACTGCTTCTTCTGGTGACTGTAACCTTTGAACACGCAGTCTGTTTTTAATTTTTGGGGAAAGTAAAGAAATCGTTAGGACTTAGATCGGGACAATATGGAGGATGGTCCAATAATTCCACGTTTTCTTCCGTTAAATACTGCCTTGTTTTTTGAGCTGTATACGAGCTTGCATTATCTTGGTGGAGGATGATTCTTCTTTCGAGGTTGGTTTTTCGAAGCTCGGTGATGACTTTTGGCAAACAAATGGTGGTTTATCAATCCACAGTAACAGTTCTTTTCTCATTAAGAGGAATTGTTGCAATATGACCCGCTTTTGACACAAATGTCGCGACCATCTTTTTTGAAACACTTCGAGAACGGATGAGTTTTGTTGGCTTTTCTTCACCTTGGAACACCCAAACAGCCGACTGTCGTTTATTTTCTGGTTCATAACAGTAAATCCACCATTCATCACCACCAACAATGCTGTACACATTTTTTGAGTTTGCGGAATTGAAACGGTCAAGCGTTCTTTGACACCAATTAACCCTGGCTGCTTTCTGCTCGTCATTCAACAGGTGGGGTATCCAACGAGAAACTAATTTTCTTACTCCTAATCCTTCATGTAAATTTTTTTAAATTGAGGTCTTCGAGATCTTCAAGGACGCCTCAATCTCGCGATATGTCACATGTCTATCTTCAATGATGAGTTTGCGCACAGCATCGACGTTTTTCTGGGTGACTGCCGTTTTTGGTGCACCCACCCTGGGATCGTCGCTATGACTCACCCGTCCACGTTTGAATTCTCCATACCAACGGGAAATTGTCGACTGATGTGGCACTTCGTTGCTGAAAACAGACAGTAACTTAGCAAGGCATTCTTGTTGCGATAATTGTCTCTGAAGGTTGTAATAAATTATGGAGCGAAAATGTTCTCGGTTGGGTTCCATTTTTCTAATGACTTGGTGACACTTAAAAATTCGCTATAGTGAGTACACTGCACATATTGTTGTGAAACTTTGAATTTAAGTTTACTAAAGAGTGAGGTTAAGATTCAGTACTGACGTTCGATCCGCGCGGCCTACTATGTTTCTATATGCAAAACTTAAAAGACATCCCTCGTAGCATCAATGTTGCTCATGGCCTGCCGTAACCAGTCGTTGATCTATCTGAGGCTGAAACTTGCACTGGGAATTTTGCCTGAGTGTAACTTCTGGTGACATACATGTATTCTGTGATTTGACCCTAATTGAAACAGTGAAAAACAGGGCAGTCAGAAAAGTGTGAAACACGATTTAGATAAGCAATATAAATTTGTGGAATATCCAAGCATGACGAATCATGGAAATACTCTCTTTTATTGTTTCACGCGATTACTGCAGTCATGCGTAACGATACAGGTGCTCTAGTGTAGTGTTTTTTTATGGAAAACCAGGATAGGCGATGACGATTATTGTTATGGACACACGTGAAGCTCTAAAAAGCTACTAAATGTCAATAAATTATAGGGTTATTCATAATCGCTCAGAAGGTATTCGAGAAAAACTGAATTCCAGAGTCGTCAGCATTTTGATAAGAAGTTATCACAATATTATCTGTGTTTTGTATGAATCCAATTTACTAGTGACTACACATCCTGGAACTATCTATAACCAATCTCGAATATGTCATCCTAAAAAACACAACTTATAGTTTATTCTTCCGAAGTTAACATCTCTTGAGCTCAGTATTACGACCAGATATTGTAATTATACGACTGTAAGCTTTTGTGACTAATTGATCTACTTATAAACGTCGCGTATAACGTGTAAAGTTAATCAGTAGTGCAGACTAAAACGCAGTATAATTGCTAAGCTGCAGCTTGTTTTTCAAGCAAAGTAATTGGGTGAGCAATGAAGCAGTAATGTGTGTAATTTTCCATCTTAAGTAAATACGAAGCAACTGAGCGATGTTTCTCCAGGAGTTGAAGTAAATCCGTGCCGTACTAGCTCTGTCGGTTCTCATGGGTGTAGCTAAACCTATCTTCAATGGGGATAAGATTTCTATAGAAATTTCTGTATCACTAATAGATAAAAACATCTATAATTTCTAGGTCATCTACAATAATAAATCTGGCAGCACTCATCTTATCAGTAATTTTCAGTCTTAAAAGTCTGACACCGAAAAACTTAGGTCAAAAATAAGAAGAATGTCTTCAAAACCTTTGGACTTATTCATCAGTAACTAAAACATGAAAACATATCAATAAGACAATAGTTTAGTTCATATAGCATACTTTTATAGGCAAGTCCTAAATTATTTTCTTGTATAACTAAAAAAAATCTCTTCACGCAGGTTACTCGCGAATCTCGACAGCCTAGCAACAAAAGGGGTATTGTAAGAGAAGTTAAGAGTTTTCCCTGAATATCCTCTTTCCTCTAACTCAATCGCAGAGATTGGGTTACCATTCTGAATGAATACGTGTTACATGCTCGCTAATCTTTTGTTTACTAGTGAAACTGAGATGCCGATTACACCAAAACTCAAGAAATAGTGAAGCAATCATTCGTTTGACCTCACTAACATTCTTCTGAATATTCTATTATTTTCAAGTTAACAAGTGTGCTTGTTGCATATTTCACAGAAAGCCACATCAACATTACCCTAACCCTAACGGCTATTCATGATGAACACCTTTTATACTTAATATACTTCAAATTGGAAAGAATTCCAGGTTTTACAATCACGCAAAGTTTACAGTAAAGTAATGATGGTGAATCCTATCTAATTTTTATTGCCCTTGACCTGTTTTCTCAGTGCGTGATCTTTCTGATGGGCTGTGACTTTATTTGGTGCTTTGCTTGCCGGAGCATAGCAATGTTTTCAGGAACTTCTACTTTTTATCGAAGGCTTCATAAGAAAGGCGTGTAATTGTTTTAATCCGCTTGCTCTCTACAAATCATTCTATCCGCCTGGTGTGGCCTAAGTGGTCGTTCCTCGCCAACATGGCAGCTCGGGAAAAAGATGCAGATGATCGGTTAAACTATTCCATCACTTTTCTTCTGCCTGGCCCGTTATCTCATATTTTGCCAGGTCTAAAAATGGCACTTCCAGATTGAAGAATTCTGCATGGAAGAGGAGTGCACTTTAATCGATGGAGATTCTGATGAGGTACATCCTACAAATGGATTTTTGATGGCGGAGCACATATGGAATCTGCAATAGGATAGCTGAAGGCGGCACTGCGTCAGGAGCATACCTCCTCCTCTTCTTCAAGATCAAGTAGAAGTCTTGTATTATAACTTTATAAATCGTTAGAAAAATCGCTCGCTCAGTTATGATTACTGAACTACTACTAAAACAGTGGTATATCTAGAAGCGGTTGAGTTCGGGGCTGGAGGGGTGAGAGCATCCGCCCCGGGGGGCCATAATGTAAAAAATCAAACATTCATTTAGGACCACCTTTTATCGCGGTAGTTATAAATTCAACCAGAGGACCATGTATAGATAACACAGTAATTCAAACAGAGAAGCAGCATCAACGGTTTGTGGATTATCAGCTAGAACTTGCAAAACAGATTCGCTGTCAACTTGATCGTTAACTAACAATCATAATTGCCTAGCTTGCAAGTTAAGCAGCTACTAAAAAAGCGGATCTTGGACGACGTTTCAAAGGAAGAACATAACATTTTAGATTTATTTTTCAACATCAAGTTTTTGCTTATTTTCCAACATCAAGTTTTTGCATGGCGGGCCACAGCCAAAAGAATGTCACCTTGTCCCTAAAAAATTGGCAACCGTCTCTTTTGATTTTCAACTTGTAAAGTGAAAACAGTACAACTTTTATGGACGTTTTTTGACATCATGAAATAATGAAATTTGGTGCTGAATCATTGTTCAACCATTTGAGAGTGTGAAAATAGCATGACCGTGCTTTTCTGAATGAAGAGAAGGATATTTCACTTTTGCTGCGCAAAGAATTATTCTTCAATATCATTGATGATCCGTGATTCAAAAGATATTGGCGGGAAGTTGTTGAAAAGTGGACATGGATCGATTGGGAGAATCGCGTGACTTATTTTCCTGCCTTGATAAAAATTTATTTGTATTTCTCCATTTGATACGAAATGACTATTATAGCTTTAAAAACATGTTTAAAGTTTCTGAGGTTACCACCTGAGAGTATCAGATATCATACACAAATTTTGTTTCAGAGCAAGCAAAAGAGATAGAGATGATACACTGTTTCTGGGTTCGTAGGTGAAATTAACGTTTTGGATCCAAAACCCTACTTTTTTCCTCCGTTACGAAAACTCTAGTTCTTCACCACGAAGTAATCATTCATCTAAAAATTGGCAAATTTGTCCAGAACGTGATCAGTATTTTGTACCTTCACCCCCTTAGATATGCCACTGAACTAGATTCTGACTTGAAATCACTCGCTGGTCACCTAAGGGTCAGTTTAACAGCTCCGCCTATGTTTCTGGCGGCGACTGTTTGAGCCACGGGTAATTGCGGTGGGAGCTTACACGAACCAGAAATTGATATAGTGTTGTTAGAGTGTATGTAAGTGTAGCGGGAACGTAATAACTTAATACTGCATGAGGCCACGGATTTCTCTATGTTCAGTTATGCGAGAACAATATTGGCGTGCGCGAATAAGGCACGGGTTATCAGCTGGTTAGATAAAAATGACCGGGTTGTATGGCTGCCGGTTATGGGTAACTAATAGTTGGAGTTAGTGGTGTATCATTACTCGTTCGTTACTTCGAACTTCACAGATCTTGCCGATTGTATTTCATTAAAAAATTATGGATTCGTCCAGGTAACAATGCATGTAATAATGCTAATGGTATAAAGTGTTGTTTACTGTTGCGTAAAATTGTTATTGATTGGGGGAAATATTTTGCCGTATCATTGCAACTATTGATTTCTCATAGAAACTTTTGATGTACGGGACACATGGTATTCCTTATACAATATCAATATTAAACTTATATCTTTCATATTTCAGAACATTGAATATATAATATGTCACCTCGTATATTACAGATGTAAAGGAGTGAAAGTCTCAAACTTTAGCGGTTCTCGTGAAACATATTTGACAATCCCTGCTTTCTACTGGTTTCCAGTCGATGAACTGCTTTTCCACTAATTCACTATTGTGTATAGGAGGAAGGTCGACCAGCCAAGATCACAGCACTTATGCCCTAATGGGCCAATTGTACATACTCCGCAGAGACCGCTCGATGCTGGATCATCAACCACCCCAACTATTGAGAAAGGTGTGGATGCGACTCGGAGCAGTTCACACTGCACTAGCCATGGAAGGCCAACGTTACCCAGAGTGGATTTTCCGATCGGAAGAAAAGCTGGGCAGTCGCAAAGCCAGGGCAAAACTGTCACATCTTCCTGTTCACGACCTCTACAGAAGGCTGTGTCGCTCAATCTCATGTTACAGATATGTTTTCTTAGATCACAGTGTCCAGTCACAGTACCTGTATCCAAGCTGCAGTTGTTCTGTAGTTTGCTATTCACTCACTTGGATAGGTGACAGCGAATAAGCAAACCGTCGTATCATCCCTCATGTTTTTGAAGACTTTGTGGATGTGGTCTTTTAGTATAGTTGTAAGAGTTCCGATAGGTAAAATGCAGAAGCGCTGATCCCAAAATTCTGCGTTCAGTAGGACTTTCGCCAGGGTATCAGCTATAATATTTCCCCTAGATTGCGAGTGACTCTTTGCACAGGCATCAGTTATGCAAGTGCAAAATGAAATAGTGCTATTAACGCACCAACGAAAGTTATTCTCTAAGCTACCTCCAAAGTTAGTTTAGCGCGGCATTGACCATTAACGTCATAAGATAAGAAACTTCATTGGATCTGAAATCTAATCTCACACCGCATACTATAGTCGAATACCAAAGTCGAAGAAAGTCACGTAACGCAGCGTGCCTCGCCGTTAATGCAAAGTGTCTGCGTACGGAGAGATAAGCGCAATACAAAGACGCACTGCCAGTGGAGTACGATGAGTTATACTACTCTCTTCCATTTTGGTACTCAAATAGGTATACTGTAGATGTTTATTTGTTCATTGTTGTTGACAGCAAGGCAAGTGATCTCGATGGGCTAAGTTAACAAAGTATGAAGTGTGTATATAAAAATGCTTTGCTATTTTGTGTTTTTTGGTTCAACATTTTAATAACGTATGTAAGTTGCCTTTGGAAACAACAGTCTGTTTACTTATTTTACTGACAGTTGATATTTATTTATTTTGAATTTCGCTTCAAGATGTCGTATAAATTAGAAAGAAGGAAATAAGGGCATGTCTGAATCTCCCAAAAAGTGGAAGACCACATGCACTTACTGCATAGAGGCCAGACATTGGTGATAAGAGCAAAAAATCAGGTTGGAGTGTCAACAAAGAGACTGGCTCGTCAATACAGATCTTCTAAGAGTACGATATCGTTATAAATCATTATTTTAGATGGCGAAAAGTATTTCACTTTGAGTAATTCTGAAATGAAGGGAAACGACGGATTTCATACAGACAACGTAGAGGAATGCCCTGACAATGTTATATACAAACATAAAGCGTAATTTGCAGATAAAATCCTTGACTGGTGTGCAAAAAACAGGGGTGCATCCCAACCTTTTGTGGGAAGAGTGTGAGTGGTGAAGCTCTGAATAATCAGAGTTATATTGATAACCGCATTTCCAAATTGCTTCAATTTGTCCACGAACTTCATGCTAATGACCATATCTTGTTTTGACCAGATCTAGCATCATGCCATTACTCAAGAGATGCCCAAAACTGGCCTCGACAACACAACATACCTTTTGTTTCCACGATAATTCTCCAAACTTGCCGCAGGCTTGCCCACTAGAGGATATTTTTCGTTTACGAAAAACTGAGAGACATTCTAAGAAAGATGCGTCTGGTATATCAGAATGGGCGATTCCACATAATTCGATAGTAGATTTCAGTTAAGTACTGAGTTGTAATTTGTGATAATTAGTTAGTGTTTAAATAAATTTCCTCATTAAAAAAAATCCTATAAATAATCTGTGCCAAAACTTTTAGAGCATACGTTACAAATGCAAAAAAACGTGTGGCGTCCAGTTACATCCATTAAAGAATTACATTTTAAGTATATTTTGTGGAAACCAGCATGACGATGGACCAACTGTAAGGGTAGCGATGAACCAAAACTTGAAAAAATGCAAAACGAAATTGTACAATTAGTAGATTACCCACCGTATTCACCAGATCTGATCCTCAGTAGTTCCGGATATTTATAAAAATCAAAAGAACGTTTACGAAAAAAATATTTCTAGTGATCAACGGGTGATGAACGCCGCAGGCCAGGTTTTCAGCAGCTGGAGAAACATTCTTCTATGAGCTTCCTACCGCACCCTATCCCTATTATGTAGATAATAAAAAATATAAATTAAATGTAGCTTTATTGCAAGTGCATAGGAACATATGGATCAACCCTCGTACAACTGCGAGTAATAATGGTTGGTCCAGAATAAAGCAGACTACATTCATAATGATATTATCGGTAACCATGTATAGGTCAGTTGACATAAGGAGTGTAAATTAGTGTAAATGGAAACACTGGCTCGGTACAGAGCTATTTAGAGTGGTGGTGAATGAAATCCGCATAGCAATGATAGTTCCCAACCATCGATATAATATGAAACAAGAAGAAGAAGAGACCACGAGTCAAATCACACATCGATGCTTGCCTTTAGGTGGGCAATATCTAGTTAGTGTTGCTATTTATATTCCCTACAATGTACAAACTGCGTATTAATAGTGGTAACATTACGTTCCATTGATGATGAAACACGTCACTAACGCTGATCCATCCTCTATATTACATCTTGCATCTTGCTGTCCAATAACCGACGAGAATTTCAGACCGATAATGGATTTCAGAATCCTTCGGCAATAAAATTAATTTCTACTTATCCAAAAAGGTCGCGGTCGACCACAAAAGCAACTAATTAAATCTCAATGGGAATTAACGGCAACCGAGGCAGGCCTAAACAAACTATTAACGGCCCTAATGACACGTAATAGTTACAAATTGATAAAGGCCCGCATTAACGAGTAAGCGCTACCCAACGAACGTGCCGATTTGTCTGTTAGAGGCCCGTTAATCCGAGAACCAATAGCGGCCGGGTATAAATCAGACAGCAATTGAAACCGATTCAATTCGACAACGACAAATTAAAGGATTGGTCATCGACGAGGTAGAATGTGCGATGGTCATCGGCCATACGGCCATACTTAGAGCGTCGCTCGTTTGCTATATCTATCTCTGTCTCAGCAAGATTGAATCTGCAGGTTGAACTGGGGAATGGAACGACAGCATACCTAGTCTCAGAGGGATGATCAGCTTCTTTGATGGCTACGCCTTAGTCACTGCGTAAGAACACTCTTGATAGGGACAATCTGTAATTTTCTTCTCACTGGTGTAGACTCGTGAGACTCGAGAGACATCTTGTTAATTTGACTTTTAAACTAACTAAGGCTAGTAAGAACTACAACGAGCCTCCTCTGACAGATTAATATTAGCTAGTTCTTGGATGTATGAAGTTCGATAGAGTTATGGTGGGTAGCAGAAGCCTGACTGTTGGGAAAGAGCTCTGAGGAGCAAAGCCCGTTGATAATGCGGTAGAAGAGAGCCACATTATGTAGGTTTTTCTATAAAATGTCACCTATGAACTAGCTGACATCCACTTCATGCTCGCTTTCAGTAGGGGTGGAATGAACTAGCGGATACCTATTATACAAGTTGACATTTTACCGAGTTTTTTCGACATTACATATGTTTTTACGTTCATTTTGAGTTCCTGACTACCCTGTATAAAATATCAAAAAAAAATTAAAAAGTAGAAAAGTAGACAGGAACAATTTATGACATCTTAATTTTGTTTAACGGAAGATATAGCTATACCAGTTGCGGAAAAGCGAGCTAACAGAGTTCAGTGTATTATTCGGTAGATTGTCAAATATCTCAACAATTTGGAATTAGAAAAGAACCTTATAATAAACTGCTTCGTCTGAAGGGGTCTTTCTAAATCTGCAATAAAATGATAATGATTTTTATTTAAAAATGCATGTTATTCATTACCCTTTAGAGAAAAATAATTTTCCATGTAAGGAGCATACTGTTGGCTACAATTTTTGTAATTAACTTTACTATAAATACTAAGCGCAAGAACAGACTTATCGATCGAGCTCACACTAAAGCCATCCTAGCTTAAGCGCTCCGAATTGTGTATTCATAAAGCTACCAGTACTCGTAGATCTACAAGTGTCACCTCTGTCTGGTATCTCTAGTAGAATCTCAAATTCTACGTAGATATCTGAAAGCAATATCCACTCATATGCTAGTCAATAAAACACAATCAAATGCAAAGCACCGACTAATAAACGTCCAGAAAAATTGAAAATCGTGTATAATATCACGATATTCCGCCATTAACATAAAGAGGCTATCTATATCTATGTAATCTAGGTCTCGGAGCCCTCTTCCATATACAATAAATTAAAAGTAACATTCGGCTGTTCAATTTTCCGAGAGAAATTGAATGGAGATAAGCGGGCATGCCGAATGGCCATGTAATTTTGTTGACTGTTTTCTGCTGTTCGTAATATGATATATAGATTCAATCCGTTACGGAAAATAGAATTTTCCAGATAAGTATATGGCGAGGGTATATGGATTTTGGCCAGACGTCCCCGGATGGAAAAATGCAATGGGATACAGGGATGGTAATAAAAATGTGTTTGAGAATACACGGAGGTTAAC